GTCCGTCTGAAGACTGTGGAGCCTGGAGTAGGTTTATGAGGACAAAGACCCCCCCCCCTCAAATGCTGAGGTGTCCAAAGGGTTTGCAAAAGCTCCCAAGCAGAGGGGTGCCCCCATCGTCCATGCCGTTGAAAACTGAACGAGGAGCTCACAAGCTTGCCGAGGCGCCTGGACGCTGTTGTAGCTCTGGCCAGAGGTCTTGCTCTCTGCCTCCTTCGGCAGCTGGCGGTGCAGGCTTTTCTGAGTATTTGGAGCACTAGATGGTTCCAAATTTGGGTTTTTAAAGTAGCACTAATGAAAACGTTGGGAATTTATGTGGCGCTCTGGAACTTTTTTTCATTTTGTAGGGGCTCCATCAACACTTTCGCTAAGCAGCTGACACTTTTTCACAGATTGGGAGATTTGACAAAAAGAAATTATTGCTTTGTCTTCCAGATGTTTTTCTTGCAATTTTTATTTTTGCCAGTTCTGGTGGAAAATGGAATATTGGATGTGCCCTCAGGAAGGGCTGTATTCTTTCATCTCTCCAGCTGATAGCTAGTTAAAGAAATTTAAGTAAAGTAATGTCAATAGCCAGGCCTGTGTTATGGGACAACAATAAAACTTTACAGGCAGTTATTTCATTTCACTCTCTCCATACACATACGCACACGCCTTTCCTGGCCCAGCCCGTTGCCAGGTCTATGTTAAGATTTTAAATAACAAAACTACATTGTATCTTGGAAACGAAGGAGATGATAGGTGTTTTTTTTCCCTTTCCCTTATACATGGTAAAAAAAAAAAAAATAAGAGAACATTTTCCCAAGTTTCCCAAATTTTTTTTTATTTTTGTTTGTTCATGGTAAAAAAAAAAAAAAATAGAAGACCATTTTCCCAAGTTTCCCAAATGTTTGCTTTTATTTGTTTGTTTGTTTTCTCAGGACTTATCTTCAGTCAGAAATTAGGCCGTCATAAAACAGGAACCCAGAGCTCCCAGGATCAGGCTAGGAACAGACAGGTGGGAAGACATCGGAGAAATAGTCTAGCCCACTAGGCAGAATAACATCCACAGGTTTAGTGGGTTTAGCGTGCGTGTGTCAGCGTACAGGGAAGAGGCTGGACCTGGGGGTGGGAGCCTGCAGTCGGGTTGTGACGAAAGTGGACCAGACTTTCCATAGCAGACTCCAATGCAGAGAGATGCATTTTTGTATAAACCCACAGCAAGTAATGGCTTATTTACAGTGGCCCTTCCTGTGAACCTCACCTGGCGCATGGGAAGTGTCTACTTGGTACGTGCTGAATCTGTGCCCCCATCGGTTAACCAGAGACTGTGGCCGGCAGCCAGTGCGACGACCCTCCTCGCCTTACGTGGCCAGACTCTGCTCACTTTCACCAGTGTAAATCTGGCATCTTGAATCCACGCGAGTCTGGATTTGCTCAGAGTGCAGAGCAGGAGATGGCTGAGGGGTCCTGCAAGGGCTGTCAGGTCTGTATGAGAACGAGGGTTAAGAGTGACATTGTCTTGCATGCCAAAAGTCATGGATCTCTGCCTGACCAGATTGCTCTAGCTATGCTGTACCTCTGTTGTGTTTCTCTACTCTCAAGTCTTACATGAAATGCGTTTTGATGTCCTTTTAGCACGCCCCACTAGCAACGTCTTGGGTTAATAGGCACAAAAACTGAGAGACCCACTTTCTGGTTTCTTCATTGCCTTCTTTCATCCTAAACATCATACTTGTCCTACAGCAGGAAAAATATATCCAAGTGGCCAGGATACACATACTGTGAATGTTTTCTGGTGTGATTCATTTGCAGAATACCAATAATGTATTTAACTAGCATTGTGCAAACAAAAGATGCATTTTAAAAGAAATGATTTTAGAGATTTATTCCAAAAGAAGCAATGATTTTTTTTTATAGAAAGTTTTTCTGGAATAAATGGAAAGATACAAAACAAGAATAAAAGATTGTGTCCATCCATCAACCTGTGTCTGAATGTTTTATAAAAATATTTCAATTTTTGTATTTCAGATCTTACATGGACTATTTTGTGGATGTGCTCATTTTCTTGCTAAGGCTAATATTACAAATGTATTTTGAATGCTCCGAAGCCCAGACTGGAAAATAAACTTCATTGAATACAGGACAGTTTTGTGCAGGATATAATTTTTCTCTTTTCTTTTTCGGTAGGAGAAGGATCCAGTTTGTTTTTGAATTTCAAATAGGTAAAACAAGCCTCGGGAGCGCTGGTCCCTTCCCCGGCTGCCATGCGGTAAGTTGCTTTGCTGTGGGGTCTGCAGGCGAGGAAGGCTGCTCGGACCTTAAAAGGGGAAGTTCTTTCCTGGGAAGTTGTTTCCCCACCGTGGTTTTTCTGTGCTTTTCAGGAAAACCCTTTTATTTTCCTTTATAAAAGACTTCAGGCTCCTCCTGGGCAAGGCCAATGTGAGCTGCTCTGCAGGGACTGGCTCAGAGCAGAGTTGTTATGGTTTGAGGTTTGTGATTGAAATACTGCCTGGATAGGTGACTCGTAGGCTTCACAGCTGGAGAGTGTCTGGGAACCAGACACAGAAATACCTTGCTGCTGGCTTGTTTCTTCTCTGCTTTGCACCGTTGGCCTGAGTTTCTCCATATTGTCCTGCCCTGGGCTTTGCTATGGCCCTGCACTGTCCCTGAGAGAATCAAAAGTACTATGGGCTGCAGAGAAGAGGCAGCTTTCCGTATTGGTTCCTATCCAGGAGGTTTAAGCTCTTTGGTTGTGGTAAAACTCCCAGTCCAGACACAGAGTCAGCGTGGAAGGAGGTTCCCTCTACCTGATACAAGACCTCAGAAACTCGTATGCAGTAGGAAAACGTTTCTATCTTAACGCCTTAAACAAATATTGCCATAAGCCTATGGGGCAGATAAAGCGCAGAAGTGGTGTGTCCTGCCTGTGGCTGCAAACCGACTCAAGGGCAGAGCTGGGAAGGGGCAGGGGTGTCCCGTTCCTCGGGAGCCCTAGGAGCTAAGAGTCTCCCTGTGGTCAGAGCTATTGGTCTTCAAAGATTTCTGCTTTCTGTGCCATCAGGTAGTGCTGAAAAGAAACGCCAGCTACCCTGTCCAGGGGACCTGGGAAGAAGCAGAGGTGGACTATGAGGGGGACTTTGGGGGTTTTGGGGCCAGACCTCTGGTGTCAGCCAGCTGATGCTGGGTGGCTGGTTTAGAGGACGGGAAGGGGCAGTGCACTGCTTCCCTCCCCAGGCTCTGCCTCTGGTGAAAGCCCAGCCTGCATGAGTCACCTTCAGAGCCAGGCGGACACCGCGTGGGCAGATCCCCTGTGACAAGCTGTTTGTCAAACCAGTTCCTCCATCTGCCGCTCTCATTCCTGCAGTCGCGCTGCTGCAGCAGCGCCAGCATTGGGTCCAGAGGAATGCTGCCGAGCATCTCCACCCAGGGGCTCGCAGGAGTCCGGATGTCACCAGCTGCCCCAGTAGCCGTGACCTTTCTGCTCCCTGCCAGCAGCTCCATGTTCATTAGGGATGCCTCCTGCCTCGCAAGGATGCTCAAGTGACATCATTAACTGCTTCCTGGGTCTCTTAGCATATCTCTCTGCAAAGTGGGGATGCTATCTACTCTCCTCAATGAGACTAGTTGGGTGTTATTAAGTTACAGGTGTGTTTCAGGAGGCTCAGCCTGACTGTTTCACTGGCTGTCTTGCAGATCACAACCCTCCTGTGCAGCAGTTTTAGCGTGGTAAAGGAGGGAGCATATTGATTCCAGTTGAAATGGAGTGGGTGTGTTGAAAGGAATTATTTCAGATGGATGTTAGGAAAACATGTAGGTGAGCACTTCCTCCTTTTTGACAAGTGCTACAGGATCTGTAATAACTAGGCCAAGATCTCAGGATAACGTTTGACCTAGAGGTAGAGCCAGGCTTTCCAAATAAGGCAGCAGCGTGTTTTGAAACTCTTGCCCCCAACATACACGAGGTTAACAGCTCTCTAGCGTGCTGCTATTGCAGATGCCCAGCCCATTCAGGCTGGATTGCTGAATGTGTTACATGCAGCCAAGAATAATTCAACCCATTGTTTGGAGAGGTTACACTGTGTTGTAAGAGTCATCACATCTTTTCTCAGTAAGGTTCAGTAAGGTGGTTATTTTCTTATCTGGTCAAACTTGCATAAAGGTGGTACTCTTGGGCTGAGCTGCAGCTATGGAAAGGCATTGGTCTTCCCATTTCCAAATGAACATGCAGCTCTTCAGCCCATCACATTGGCATGGGTGGCTGCTGGAATACCACGTCTTTATTTTTCAGGGTATCAGGCCAGACTTGCCCTCTATAGTCTCTGGGCAAAAGAGCGACACAGAATTAGCATCCGTGTGTGTGTCCCTAAAAGTTGCTAGAGAAAGAACAGGCTAAGGCATATCTCTGAGCAAGGCACAGGGAAAACAGCTTGACAGCATTTCATCCCCAAACCCCCAGCCACAGTTGCCAACCCAAATGCTGGCAAAAGCCTCAAAGAAGCATCTTCCCATTACCTGCTGTCCCAATCCCACCCATAGGCCCCAGAGCTCATGCCAAGGAAGACCTCCCAGAACACCAAGCCTCCCTGCGCCCTTTCTAGCTGGAGAGCTGGTAGCTCTGGTTTCTGCAGATACGGCTCAGTCCCGCACCAAGGCTGGGCTGTTGGAGAGTTCAGCCTAGAGATACTGAGTCACTTGCCCTCTTCTGGAAGGTTTGGCCAGAAGAGCAGGGTTGGCACAGATGCCTCTATACAGAGCTGCTCTCCGGTACCAGGGTACACTACAGGTTCTGCCACTTCCTCCTGCTCCTGTGCCCTTCTGTGCACGGACAACCGTCCCCCACCATGGCTAGGTTGGTAAAGGAGAAAACACCCCCATGACCTGCCTTTGGTTCCCCGCTTTGTGGAGATTGAGCTAAGAGAAGTGATGCCAGTATC